AAAGAACGACTGTCCTTGTGAGTACCATAAACAGGTGTCTTAATGAATTAAATGTGATACAGCTCTAAGACTAATCTCACCAGTCAGACTCACACAATGAATGACCAATCCCTAACATGATGTCATACCACAGAATACCTTTTAAGTGGAGTTAACCTTAATTCACTCAGTTTATCGAAGGCTTGCAATAAATTACACATATGTCCGTAAAAGATTGAGGCAATAATTGATGATACTTGTGTGCAGACTAATCTGAACGATTACGAACTAAGCCATGGTATTCACACGTTTGTGTAAGAGGTAAATGGGGGCACCTACCTGCTTGACTGTAAAGACGTTTCCCCCGAGTCTGTACGGCAGGGCGTACAAGGTGCCACACTTTGTGCTTTGCTTTTGTATGTTTGGAATGGTTCTCGGCAACAAAGACAGAACATGAAACCAAACAGGTTAGTCCAGGAGGAGAATCTCAAAAGGGGCCTAGAAATAGGATTTCGTAGCCTCCCCAGTACTGATTTTGTTTGACACTATTTTCAGTTAGTATGATGTCTTGGGCTCATGAAAAGGCCTGTAATACTCTCAGATTGTGGTATCAGTTTTTTTTTACAGGCCATTATATGTGGTGGGGGTCTGCGAGCATTTTCGTCACATTTGGTTGGTGCCCGACAACACCTCAAAGTTAATCATTAATAGTTTTACGACTATCAATCTGATCACTTTCATTTTGACTTCTGTGTACTGCTAAAGGATGTAGAAATTATTTGACATAATTTTGTTTTGAAAAAAAAATCAAAATGGCCGCCATTTTGGCCGCCATTTTGTTTTGTCGTGTTTTGCCTTCTCAGCACTTAAATTTACATAAAAAATGAACACCGAATGTTTCCATTTACATCCACAGTTGATAATTTTGATGTGTTTTGACACTTGTTTCTCCTAGAGTGATGGCTTGGGCACAAAACAAGTAATTTTGTATGGTCATATCGTGGTAATTTAATATTTTACAGCTTATTCTTTGAGACAGGGGTATTTTTGCAATTTTCCGACTTTTCATGGAAATGTGTGTGAGTGATTTATTCAATGGCAGTTGACATTATTTTTGTTACTAAAACAAGTTGTTTTTTGTTTTCTCTTTACTTCTAGAGTGACGGCACGTTATTAGGAATGTTTACATATTACCCAGAATTCAAAATGGCCGCCAAAATGGCCGCCATTGTAGTTTAACTACATATACTTAGTGGAGGACTAAATTTGTACTGATATGAAATCCAAACAACTCATATGGTGTCTAATGTTTAGTACAGTATAGGAATAGAGCTAAATGTCAATGATAGGGTCAATCAAAGCTTCACACTCCTTAAATATTTGATGAAATAACATTATCCAAAAGTGTTTGAAAACTATGCTTCATGGCCGATAACTACGTGTAGGCTTTGGTTGTAGGCATTCAAATTGTTCTATCAGATAACTCTTAATCACTTTTGATACATCCATAAGCTTGCAATTAACCTTCCTTTTCACTTTCTTTCATTTCATATGTTACTTCATGTCAGAATCGGACCTGTAGAGATCCGGGTTAGAATTGATCTTCAATAACCCATGCTTGTCGTAAGAGGCGACTAACGGGATCTGGTTGTCAGGCTCACTGACTGGGTTGGCACATGTCATCGTATACCAATTGCACAGATTGATGTTCATGCTGTTGATCCCTGGATTGTCTGGTCCAATCCAGGGTCTGGTCTATTTACAGACTGTCGCCATATAGCTGGAATATTGCTGAGTGCGGTGTAAAACTAAACTCACTCACTCACTCACTCATGTCAGAATCGGAGTCATCTACTGGCAACAAGTCAAAGGTGTTCGGGCAACAATCATCTGCCATACAAAAAGACATGCCTATGTGCACACTATATCATTCTTTCTGCTGGCATGCTGACATTTTGCATTACACGATGTCAGTTCAACCAATCCACAGGGAGCAGGATCTCTTGACATCAATAGGGATAAGCTGACCATCACAAATGCTCCAACCATGGTCAACTGGGGAAGGAATGTTCATGATTGGTTGTAGAGACTGTTTCCAAACATGGACTTTGTAGTTTACTCGTTCAATGTGATGTTTAAGACTGTTGGATGTTGGTGGGAGGTTTTCATTTAATATCTTGTGTCATCTACAGACATCACTGGATTATTTGGTACATGCATAGAACTCACAAACTGGCCACAAGATGTAATGAGTGTTTCTTGAACATTCAAATTGTCATCCATTTGTTGTGTGAAGCTTCTCATCCCTGGGCTTTACAGCCTTTTTGGGAATCAATGTAGAAAAGGTTTTCAGGTTCAGTCAATGTAAAGGTGACCACAAGTTGTCCTGGAAGAGTTCAATGGACTACTTATGAAGATATCCCTTTGCTCTGCCCCAATCTGTTCAACATGTAAGAGGCTGTGAATCATATCCTTTGGGACAATAACTCCACTTCCAATGTTCAGAAGATGCAGACATCATTCATTTGGAAGATTGAATGGGTTTGTCATCAACCTTGATGTGAACATGGACATTTCTAATGTTCATTTTACAATGGCTCATTCAGATGGAACATTAAGAAAGAACATCAAAAGCGGTTTGTTAAATGAACTTTAAAGGGAAGTTTTTGGTCCTTCGCTGCTTATACTAGCAGAAGAGAGAATGTTGCCTGTTCATATAGTTGATGGAATGGCAAATTTGCAAATGTTCAGAAAGGGAGCTGCTTCCACATTTGGACACTTGGCTGATATGTATTGGGACAACTTCACTTAAATTCTGAATCGAACAGACTGCATTAGATGTTGTGTGGGACAGGTATGCCAGACAAGAGTCAATCAAAGCAGGGGAGCAAATCAAAAGAGGATCGCCAAAGGCACTAGAAGTCAAGATTGTTGGCAAAAACAAACCACTGCCAAGACAATGGGACAAACACATCAGCAGTCCTGTCAACAAGTCTAGTCTTGTAGCATGTATAAACAAACGATGGTGTTCTGTTGGTCTAGCCATGCTACCTGTTGGTAAAGCCTGAGTCACACAAATGTAGTTCTTAGGACGTCCTACGCTGTCCAAAGAATAACTGTAAAGTGAGCTCGAACGGGATAGAACGTGTAACTTTTGTATAAATTACAATGCTAGTTTGATCATAAACAGTTCTCAGTACGTCTGTCTCGTCTTTACCCCGACCCCAGACAGTTGGTGTTACGTATAGAGTGGGTAAAATTGCCCCGTTCACCCCGTGTGGACAACGTTTTCAAGCAGTCCAATCCCGTCCATAGTCACTTTATATCCCTTCTGAACTAAACCTCGTTCGTAATACGCACAACCCCGTTCTAACTCATTCTTCTAAACCAACTCATTTTCAGGCACTTCTTCCCGTTCTCGCTACTTTCTCACTCCGTTTCTAGTGTGTGCAATCGTAATAGCAATCACTTCCTGGTTCGATATATATAAATACCCTGCCCATTCTTATTCCGCTCTCAGTTTCAAGGTGGAAACATTGACATCACCATGCCTCCAAGGAAGAAGAAGGGTGAACATCTAATTTATAAAGGGGTCAATGCGTTCAAGAAGTTCATCAAACATGGGAGGGGTGATTCTCAAGAAATTGTAGAAGGACTCATGATCATCAAGGCGGAGCTCCTCCATCAGTTGATGATAATGTCCCACGGCTATTCACCTCTCAGGTTTAAGCCAGTTCCTCAGCCAACACGTTCTTGTGTTTTCCTTCTTTCTTCCTCTACCAACTCATTGTACTCTTGCTCTGCTTCCGATAAAAATTGCAGGAAACCAGCATTCAATATTTTGACAGCTGCAAACTTGTTCATAGAAACTCTATCCCAAATGACGACCATGTTAAAAACGCATGTATATATACCCTACCTTGTCATATCGTACTGCACACAGAGTTGACATAGTAAGAACTGCATGAGAACTACATAAACATACTAACAACGAGTAGAACGTGATGAGAACTCATTGCAAACTGTTAAAACCGTGTACTACAAGCTTCTTCAGAACAATTCATTTTGTTTTGAACATATTTGCTTGGAATAGCGACTAACTAGAGTTCAGTAGAGTTCTGCAAACGGGATGGACCGGGTGGAAACTGTGTACAAACGTACTGCAATAGACCGATCCAGTCTCGGCCGATAAGCCCCGCCCACTTCGTTTTTGACATTAGGGGGGACAACCACTGGCAAATCACAATGGCGTCACCGCCGGCGAAACGTTACGTGATTGCGAACGTTGTTGATGAATTCTGCTTGTGATACTTTGGTATCCGTCGTTTGTGAATGTTACTTAAACAGGCAAGTTATACGTATGTGATTTTTAATATATTTTAGCTGGCAGATTACAACTGGCGAGTGAAAATGAGTTACATGCCCGATGAAAAAGCGTCTCGACTAGCTGCTGAGACTGTAGGAAGCGTAATTTCTTTCGAATCGATTAATCTATCTGGCAATTCACCTCCGTCACAGATATTAGCAGGGAAAGGATAACTGAATTTTGTTGTTTGGGTTTATAATTTTTTAAAACTCGTGAACACAACCACATGTTCATGTTGCAGATCGTTTCGAGTATCTATAAATATTAATGGCATTTAGCATTAGTTGCTAAATGGGTTTATAGGCAGCATTTACATTCGCACAGCTCTAGCACTGCTCTGGCAAGTGAAATACACTCGATATGTAACGCTTAACTTCACCTTGAATTATGTCATTTCTAATCATCTTCATTTCGCATGCGGCTAACACACAGTCGGCAGTGTAGTTCGTGAAATATCTGTCTTAACCTTTAGGTACTAAGGCGGCATAATTTGATAAAAGGGGGATGGGTGGAATATACAATTCTTTGCAAAGTATTCATACACTTATCTTATGATAAGTATCCAGTGTAGCAACGCACGTGGCAGTGTATTATTTCCGCATTCCATAATAGTAGCTACGTCACTTCCGGAGTGATGTCACATCCGCAGGCATAC